AGGAATAGCTCATGCTTAGTGGCAATAGTTGATAAATTATAACATGCCAGAAATATTGTGCATGCTTCTGAAAGGCAGAATATTAATGTCTCTCCAGATGCGTCTAGAAGTTAAATAGCATTTTTGAAATGCCAGAAGTTTTTAATATCCTATCTGGAGAGTCTACAATTTAGGACACATTATAATTTAGTATATATATTAAAAAAAAAAAAAAAAAAAAGAGACAGATTATCTATAGTATATCAGCCATGAAGCAGAAGTTGCCTAGATTTTCACAAGGCACCCATTCCCACCCAGTAACATGTTTAGTATATTACATATTCTATTACAGCAATAACTCTGCCATAAAATTATTTCAGTCTTGAATATTGGTTTATGTGTTGCTATAGCACTGGTGCAGGATGGTTCCCAGATTCAGTTATGTATATGATTTGCTGAAGATTGTAATTTCCAGAAATACACCTTCCTAGCATATATCAAAGACAGATTTACGTAAGTCCTTCATCAGACAAATTCCCCTCTGTCCTGTCTTCTCTGCTGCTGGCCACTGTCACTAGAACCAAGGCTCACCTCAGCTGAAGCAACATGCAGTAATGGTGAATGCTGCTGGGATGACGAGGATGTGACTCCTCAGAGGCAGAAGGCTGTTTCCCCTGTGTTTGCTCCTCCAGCTGCCACACCGGGAGTGGGGGGAGCCAAAGCTGTACCTGCTTATCAGCTCTTTATATCCTCTCTGTCACCTAGAGGAAGAAAACAACAGTTATTTCATTTTCTTATCCAGAAGTCTGTGAGGTTGATAATCGAGGGTGTAGTACTTCATCCTTGCAGGAATGCTATACTAAAAAAATACTTGGGAAGAGACACTACTGAAATTGGAATTAGTGTCCTCTGCATCTGCCTGTACACTTGGGTTCAGGTTCTCTAAAAATTTTGGAATTCGTTAAAAAGAAAAAATCATTATGCTTATCAGAACATCATGTCTTATCAGAGCTCACATCTTATCAGAGCAGGCCTCCATTTCAAGGTGTTTTTTTTAAAAGAACTGACAGTGAGACAGTAGGTGAGAAGAGCATAGTGCAGCCCCATCTCTAAGCATTCAGAAATTTGGCAAAAAAAGTTGGTTCTGAGCTGGGACGGTGGGGTGCCATCCTGAAGGGATCTGGCTCTGCAACACCTGCCATTTTTTTCCACACTACCTTCAGAAAATATGGAATTTTTGTATAACCACCCACATCACATTGCCTTCTCTCCCACTTCTTCACTCTTGCTTCTGTAGCAATACTTCCTCTCCTGATGTTCAGCAACAGAACTAACACCAATACCAAAGGAATTAATTTTCACGAGAATACAGTCAAACTTTTAAGAGTACAGCAAACCCAAACTTGTTGTTGGCTGTTGTGCAGCCCCACAAAATGTTTGGGTAATGATGCTTCAAATCAGGACGGTCATGTCTGAATTTTCAGTTAGTCTGTTTTATTTTCAAAATTACATTCATGCATCTGTTTTCACTTTACTGTTTGCATGATGTAAGTTATTCACATTCTTTGTCACTGCACTTATAATAATAAATTACAATTTAGTAGCTCATTAGTGAGAGTAATTGCCAATATCTTGCCAAATAACCTGTGTCCACTATAAATGAAACTTGCATAAATTAGAAAGGGGTATTTTGCTTGAAAGAGAGTATGAGAATAATTTATGCTATAAATAAATACCTTGACGTGGCTAGTAGTGTTTAGATGTCTATAAGATATCCCTTGTGTAATCAGGAAGCACATTTTTATGTAATTAAAAAAATGAACAAGAATTAAATTTTGAGGCAGTGCAGCTAGTATTACCACCCTATTGTAATGTAAAACATACTGACACTTGCACTATTTTTATATACAACTACTGCAATGTTTAGGAACAGTTTTCATATTAAGGTAGAAATTTATATATTTTAAGTTCAGAAATGCCAACAAAACATAGTTCTTAAAAAAACCAAACCAAAACAAAACAAAACCACCAAACCAAACCCAGAGAGGGAATTTAAAATAAAATAAAATCCATCTTATACACAGCGTTTCCATTTAGCAGTGTTCAAAGGAAACTGTTTGGAAAGCGATTAAAAAAAAAAAAAAACATGAGTGATTCTTCCCCTGAAAAGGGAAACCACAGAATATAATTCATGAATACCTAAAGCTTTGTGTGATTGTTTTTGGCTGTTTGCTTAGAAATAATTTTTCCTAGTTAAGAAAATTCTGACAAATTATAGAATAACAAAGGTATCACATCAAAAATCAAAGACAAGTGGAAAACAATTTATTTTCTTTCAGTTTTAAACAGTGATAAATATGAGACTTTGATATCCCAAGTCCAAATACATACACTTGCAGGTATACTTGAAGTAATTTATTTTTTGAGCTGGAGTAAACTGAGGAAACAGCAGTTTTTGTGACCACTTTTGTCTTAGAAGTGCTCTTACCACAAGGCACTTAACAAATTAGTATGTTCATTTGGTTTGAATACTGATCTAGGCTGGTGTTTTTTTCCTGCAATGCTGGTACCTCCTGTTCACTTGTATTTTTGTACTCTGTCACAGCAAGAATTCCAGGCAAGTCTGTACTTTTATTTTCTCTTTCAAATCCTTCCCAGGTTTCTAACAGCTGCCAGCTGAGGCAGATTTCACCTCCTGTGTCTGCACAACTGCTTAAAAAGTGGTATTAACACTGTACTGAGACAGAGTAGAAGAAGCATGAGTAGCTGCTTTTCTGGAGACACAGGTAAGGTGTCATGTGAGAGAGCTGAATTCCTGAAGAGTGTGAAATCATGAGTTCTGCTTTTTTTGTCTTGTCTTCAATTGCTAGAAGATTTTCTGCAGTAGTAGTGACTGCAGACCAGATTCTGTATGGGAGCTAATCAGCATGGCTGCATTTCACTTTGGTGCCTCCTCTGCAGAACAGATGCTAGACCCAAGCGTTGAACCACAGGACACAGTGCATGGGGGTGTTCAGAAACGGCAGCAAGCTGCCTCATGTAATGCATTCGTCATGCAGCCATCTAGAACTAGTCTCTGGAAACACTCAGCTCCAGTCCTTGATTCTCTCTCTTGTATGACAGCTGTTCAAGATACAGAAGTCTTATTTAGGTCCTTAAGTATATTTTCTGAATCTGGCTGTAATAGAAGATCCCAGCACAGGAAACTAACTGGTATTGTTGAGCAGGTTTATAAATAGCGTTCCTGAAAACATGTTATTTCACTGAGAAACAGGAAGGAAATGCCCAACTCTAGAAACTCATCTCTTCTTCAGTAAGGAGACAGAGCCATTTCTAAAACCCTTGCATATAGCTACAGAGTAGTTTTACCACCTCACAGAGTGTGACATGCACAGAACAACCACCAGCACCCAGAATAACACAGAAGAGGACAAAAAGAAAGTCACACAGAGAGAAAGTACCATTTTCACTGTTGTCTCTGGAGTGCATGACCCTTATGTAAGTAATTGATGGTTCCTGGAAACCTGAGAGTACTCCTAGGGTGCTGCTGAGCCTCATTTTCAGGACATTAAAGTTTAGCTCAAGGTAGCAAGGTTTTTCACTGTGAGGTGTCTAAGCAGGACTTTAGGATTACAGCCACCATGCCCTGTGATTATCATAGCCACTAACCCCCCACTTTTCTTAACAGCTAAAATCCACAGCTTTTGAGTTCACTGCAATTTGCTGAGTATTTTTCTGGCTTCTTTATAATGATCCTCTTCTGATGTCACCTGGGCCTATGGCACCTCTCCGTGCTGTTGTCCCACAGCAAGCCAGATGCTGTTCCTTTTGGAGAAGGTCTTTTCTGTCCCAGAAACTCTCTTTCATGGCCATGCTCTTCTTTCTTGGTGCTTCCTTGAGAGACAACTTTTCTTTCCCTCTTGTGGTGGCTGCCCCAGTGTCCTGGTTTCAACTGGGATAGAGTTAATATTTCTTCTCAGTAACTAGAGTGGTGCTGTGTTTTGGATTCACTGTGGGATTTGGTATGAGAATAATGTTGATAATGCACTGATGTTTTCAGTTGTTGCTGGGACCAAGGCCTCTCCAGCTCCCCATGTCATGCCCATGCCCAGGTGCATAAGAAGCTGGGAGGGAGCATGGCCAGAGCACTGGTTCCAAATTAACCAGTGGAATATTCCATATCATGTAACGTCACAGTCAATAGTTAAAGGAGGGGTGGATGGGTAGGCAGCATTCTCTCTTGCATCTGGGATTGTGATTGTGGGATCTTGGTATTTAAGGATCGTTAGTTCGGAATGGGCTGGGTATCAATCGGCGGGTGGTGTGCAATCACATTGTGCATTACTTGTTCATACTTTCCATTACTGTAATTGTTTTATTTTATTTCAATTATTAAACTATTTTTATCTCAACCTATGAGTCTCCATTCACCCCTCCAATTCCCTCCCCCATTCCTTGGGTGGGGGCGGGTGAGTGAGCGGCTACGTGGTGCTCAATTGCCCTCTGAGCAAAAGCTATGACAGCCAGTAAAACACTGTTCAGGCTGCAGACAAGAGGAGGAGTTACAGCATAAAGCTACAGTGTTTGCTTCCAAGATAAGCAACTCTTTGGAGCTCTGGTTGGAAGGATACACTTAAGCTACAAAGGGGGGAAGGGACTGTGCAGAGGCAAGGGCACAAACTGTGTGCTTTCTTCCCTTCGTGGAAGGGTAAGGGGTAGCATGCATAAATGTCGCTGATTGGGACAGCAAGCAGCTGCGTTCTGTGTTTGTCCGTCACTTGCCTGCCTTCTAAATCTCAGGCATATGTTTTGCCCCACGTTTTTTGGTGGGTTTTTTCCAAGTTGGAAAATTGCTCAGAAATGGCAGTGGGAAATCCCTACAATCTGCTATCTGTGGTAAGAATAATTCCCACGCTGTATTCGGTACAAACACAGTCCTATATCATTATATAACAACTGAAAGTAAAACAGCATGGAGGAGGGGGTGGAGCATTTGCTGCTGTCACTAGTGCAAACATTATCCTAACTTCTGTGCCAAACTTGCTGCACAACTTTTTCAGGACTTGTGAGTATTTTACAACTTTTAACATCCTCTTGTTTTTTCTTTCTTTCTTGCTTTGTCTCTTTCTTTCTTATTTAATTCATTAAAAAGATGGGGAACTTATACTGCTTAGCTTCCAACTATTTAATATTTTTAAAATTGTCTCATAAGATTTGTTATAAATATCAAAGACATAGTTTAAGTATCATATTTAACCTTGTATCTAACACTTGTTTCTCTCTTACTACTGTGTAAGAGACATCAGCAAGTACAGAGAATTGGTGCTAGCCAGTGAAAATTTGTCATTAGCAAAATGAGGGGAAAGCAAAGATACTGCTTAAGACTAGTTAACATAGCAAGGACAGAGATAAAAAGCTGGGAGAAAAGTTATTTACCGTCTTAGTGTATATGCTTGAAAGAGCATTAAATGCAGGCAGGGAACTGAAAAATTGCAGTCAAGTGGAATCCTACTGAAAGTAGTGATACAGAGATACTGTAGACAATAGCAGTATAATAGGGAGGTATTAGCTGGTAGTAAACCTGAGTAAGGAAATGCATTTATGAGTCTGTTGTTAAAAACACCACCTTCCACCTAATGAAACCAAAGGTAGGAGGAAAAAGATGGGTGGGGCAGAAACTTATGAAGCATTGCATTGTCAAAACCTTAAAAATTACTGCTTTAAAAGCCAGTAATAGGAAATTCTCCCTACTGTGCACAACCACTACTTTGTGATTCCTTCTGTATACAACAGGTATATTTGTGCTGCTTACTTTTAGAAGTGTGTGATATTGCAGAATAAATTCCTTATTATAACTATCACAGTATGCTTTGCTGTATTTTCCAAATAGTCAATAGCACAGCACTTTCTTTGCCTGTTATGAATGTGTTAATTTCATTTTACTGTTACCAGTTTATTTGACATGTACTAGATAAATGGAAAGGTATCACTTTTGTCGTGGAAGAAGATAGTTACAGATCAGCTTAGTCTAAACAAATGATCTGTATAGAGCAGTAGAGGTACCAAATTCATTCTCTGGGAGGACTGTTCTAAGCATTAAGGACACGTAGTATGACTTTACAAACTGTCACGATCACTTCAGCTCTGTGATCTCAATCAATGAGGGTCAGCTTTGCTAGCCCTTCAGGGTGTAGCATTGTAACGGGGCGAGCAGCTGCGGTGCTGGCGGGATCTGCCACTCAGCGCTCCCACGCTGTGCCCACGTGGGTTTTGGAACTCGTGAAACCCCCCCGTGGAACCCCCCGCAGAGCCGAGAGAGCCGCCACGGCAGCTGATGGACCTCAGAGGGGCTGGGAGCAACGGTGGCCACACCGTGCCCCGCCGCCCCCTGCCCCCCCCAGTATAAAAGCAGCCCTTTGGGAGCACGGCTGAGGCGTGCAGGGAGGCTGCTGGGGCTCTGCCCACCCGGGCAGGGAGGACAAAAGGGATTAAGGGGCAATGGTGACAAGTTCCTGCCTGGCACAGCAGGCATGTCTCCCTTGGGACTGCGCCCTGCCTCAGCTGCCCCGGAATAACGGGCATGGGGCTTGGCAAGTGGAACCGAACAATAACGAGGATGATGGTTCAGCTAGCATGGAGGGGTCGCTGAGGTTACGTTGGCCTACGCCCTGCATTAAAACTGCTTCTATAAACAAACAAAAAAAAAAGATGGGTCATTGACATAGGAGACTCCCTTCTGAAGGGAACAGAAAGTCCAGTATGCCAACTGGATTGACTTCTCAGGGAAGTCTGATGCCTCCCCGGGGCCAGGGTTAAAGATTTGAAGAGAAATCTTCCTACCCTGGTACGGCCCTCAGATTATGATCCATTATTGATTTTTCAGGTAGTCAGTGATCAAGATCCAACAAGAAGTCCAAGGGCAATCAAGAGAGACTTTAGGGCCTTGGGATGACTGGTTAAGGGATCGGGTGTTCTCCTCTATCCTTCCAGTTGCAGGGGATGATGAGGGAAGAAACAAGCAGAGCCAGCAGATCAATGCCTGACTCCAAGCCTTGTGGCACTGGCAGAATTTTGAGGTTTTGGTCATGGGTCAGTCTATACAACACCAGGTCTGCTGGCAAGAGATGGGGTACACCTATCTCAAAGTGGGAAAGTGATCTTCACACAGGAGTTAGCAGGGATCACTGAAAGGGATTTAAATTTTGAAAAAATTTGATAAAATAGATTTGAAGGGGGAAAAGGGTAAAAGCAGGCTTGCTAGAGATAAGCCTGGGACTGGCACAGCAATGTTTGAGGGACAGTGTGCTTGTGAGGTCCTTTGGTCTGCTCTCTCAGTGGAGGTAGGGGATGGAGAACCATGCAGCAGCAAAGACACAAGGGTTATTGATGTGTTAGGAACCACGGAAGCACCTGAGAACGGTCACATAGAAATTAGGGCTCCTCCCCTCCAAACAGTGACAGGATCAGTAGCCCAGCTGAAGTGCATCTACACCAACTCACACAGCATGGGCAACAAACAGGAGGAGCTGGAAGCTGTTGTGCAGCAGGAAAACTGTGGCATAGTGGCCATCATGGAAAGATGGTGGGATGAGTTGCACAGCTGGAGCGCTGCGATGGATGGCTATCAACTCTTCAGAAGGGGTAGGCAAGGAAGGAGAGGTGGTGGGGTGGCCCTGTGTGTTAGGGAGTGTTTTGATTGTCCAGAGCTTAATGATGGTGATGAAAGGGTTGGGTGTTTATGGGTAAGAATCAAGGGGGAGTGAGAGAAGGCAGCTATCATGGTGGGAGTCTGTCATAGACCACCCAACCAGGGGGAAGAGGCAGATGAAATAATCCATAGGCAGCTGGGAAAAGTCTGATGATCACTCGCCCTTGTTCTCGTGGGGGACTTCAACTTACCAGATGTCTGCTGGAAATACAATACAGCAGAGAGGAAACTGTCTCGGGGGCTCCTGGAGTGTGTGGAAGAGAATGTACTGACACAGCTGGTGCGTGAGTCCACTAGGGAAGGCGACCCGCTGGACCTGTTGTTTGTGAACAGAGAAGGACTTGTGGGTGATGTGATGGCCAGAGGCTGTCTTGGGCATAGAGATCACGAAGTGATAGAGTTTTTGATTCTTGGAGAAGTAAGGAGGGGGTCAGCAGAACTGCTACCTTGGACTTCCAGAGAGCAGACTTCAGGAGGTTTGTCAGGTATTGGAAAGGCTGTGGAGGTAAGTGGTTGAGTCATCATCCCTGGAAGTATTTAAGAGATGGGTAGATGTGGCACTTAGGGACACATTTTAGTAGTGGACTTGGCAGTGCTAGGTTAACGATTGGACTTGATGATCTTGGTGGTCTTTTCCAACCTAAACTATTCTCTGATACTCTGCAGTCTTTAAGAATGTTTGAGTTCTCTGATAGAAAGAATATGATGGTCAGATCCATTTTGAGGCTTCCTAGATGTTCACTGAAAATAGAAAGGGATCACAGGGAACAGAGGTACAGGCTGATGTGGAGTCAATGGGTCGTATGGGTAAGAGAATGCTAGATTTTTTTATGAAGAGTGATAAGTTCCTTCTCACTTCAGCTTGCAGTCTCTTCCAGGCCGTGGCTAGTAATACATTTGACACAAATATTCCAATGTCAGGTGCAGGGTTCTGTCAGCCAAATGCTTCCCTCTTCTGTGCTCAGGGGGTTCAGCTTGCTGCAGCAGGCACAGCAGGGAGAAGGACAATCTGGAACAGCCCCTCTGTGAGACATGTTGTTCTATCAAAATAACACTTTTAGTGGTGTGAAGTAGATCACCGTTCTGCAGGCCAGAACAGTGTTATTGCCTGCAGGGATCAGTAAAGCACAGCAGCCCAACCTCAGTTGTTGGAACAAACTTATTAGTCTGCGCAGAAGTACATATTTTATTCCTCTTGGTTTTTACATGACACAGTCTTGTTGCTATGTTCTTTATGACATCATTGCACCATCAGTAAGAGCTAAAACCTGGGAGAGTAAATACCTTTGCTTTCATATTTTTCATGAGGTCTTTCTGTGCACTTAAAAACTCATAATGAAAGATAGTGACTTTAAAGGTTATTTTAACTACAGGGCTGAAATGCACTGCCAATTCTCATCATTGTAATACATTTCTGACTCTCTACACAAAATTATAGTGTGTTAAACAAAGAAAGAACGTCTCAAACATGTTCATTTGTTGTGCTTGCATGCTAAAATATTTCTAATTTTCAAAAGTAATTGGTCAAAAATGTAGGGGCGAAATCCCTACTATTATTTATTATTGGCTACTTATTACTCAGAGAAATGTGTATGAAGTAAAATCCTATTTTTTTTAATAAGTAGTTCCCAAATTTAAAGACATTCTTCTCACTCAACCCAGATTTCTGATTCCCTTTTTACAAGCTTTGATAAGACAGGAGTTCACTCTGAGAATAAGTGCTGGCATATTAACAAACAAGCTGATACATTTGTCTCTGCAAAGACCAGGCACTGGTAGAAAGCACTATTAATAGGTCCTCATGGGAAGATATGCTCAAAACTCCTTTTTGAGCTGGAGTTCAAAGGGATAGGACTATATTGGAGGTCCCCAGTACCTAGACATCCAAATTATTCTTTCACAGACAAAAGGACTTCTGATTTCGTATCATTAATCCAAGATCAATTTACCTTCTCGCTGCCGCTGTGCCAAACACTGAACCTTAGCTGCTGGTGCCCACCTCAAAGGGTTCTGTGTACTGAAGGCTCCTCTGCTCTTGCTGGGCCAGTTCCGCTCCCAAGATGGGTGCTATGGTCCCACTCAGAACAAACCTGAAGGAAGAACTGTAAGAGAAAGACATTTCACCCAAGCTGCCTGATCTGTATCTGTAAGCAGAGATCCCGCTTGGCCAGGGCTGAGTTCCACCTTTGAGATAATATTCTGCACATCTCTGTGAGAGTTCTAGTCTGGAATTTCCTTTACATCCTTTAGCCTATCTGGGACCTGTTCTCCGCCATCCATCAGATTTATGGGCAGCTGGGGCTAGATTTTTTTTACGATCGTGAGAACACAAAGAATTCAGGCAGCTCAGCAGCTAATAAAAGCTTTCTGTCTTCCATTCATAAATTAACATACTAATGTAAAAATAAGGAGACTGATTCTTTTTTAGCTAAGAAATTAGTGAAGAGCAGCAGAAATATTTGGAAGTCAGCAGGAGATGTACTATATAATTAAACTGTTGTCCTTGCTGATAGGCTATTATCAGCAGGTAACAAGATATATGCATCATTACAAACCACCTTACAGTATTTCATCCTATAAGAGATGAGGTGTATCTTTAGTGGCAGTATAGGGTGATCACTCAGACATTGTTGCCATTATAGCTGCTATAAATTACAACTTAACGGTTTAATAGTTTATCAGTTAAGTCTAGTGCCAATGCTTAAAAATTCTTTACCAAAAAATGGCTGATTTTTTTACCCAGTGAGGAACTGTTTTTAAAAAACTTTATAAGAATTCCTATAGATTAGAAGAGTTGCACTCTGTGACAGTTAAAAAAAACCTATACCAAAGTTGCTAAACCAGCCCACCCATGACTAGAATCTATCAAATGTTTTAGGGTGCCTTTATGTAAATACAAATACAAGTGAAGCAACTTTACTGGTTGTAATTTATTTTTGAGTAGAGGGATTGCCATATTCTAAACCGCTAGCCAAAAATGATTCCCACTTTCCCTGGCTGCAGTATCTGTCAGAAGGCTGTGAATGTCAAGTGCTTAGTAATTTTCTTTCCTAGAGTTTAAACTCTAAACAAGGACAATGTGGAGAACTTTATTGTCTCTGCTGGAGAAAGGACTTGAGTTCATTGGTGATATCAGGTCACCGTCTGCCACAGATCCTGTTTGTGCAGATAAAATATATGATGATGCAGTTGTTTAGCTAATGATCTTGTGAACAACTCACGCAATAGAAAACCCATTTTACGTGAAGAAGTAACAATATTGACAAGGTTTCACTCTGCAGATCTTAAATATTGTATTAACTGTTAATATGTTGTTAACTATTACTAGCATAATATCAATTCTGTAACCAACATGATGGAAAATCAGGCACGAACTCTATGGCCTCTTTTGATGCTGCATTGGCTAATTAAGAATTATGGCACTTGTACCAGTGGTGCCTGCGTGTCTCTGGCAAGTGACAAAGTGTCACTGTCTGTCTTCCTGCAAGGGGAATTAGGAAACCTTACCTGCCCTTCCAGGACTAAGGAGAGGTGTTGCAGGAACATGGAAAACTCTGCGCCTGACATCTGAAAGATGCAGCTGGTTACTGCCACCAACCTGCTTGTAAAAGGTATCGACACGAGCACACTTGTCCAAAAATAACTACATCTGTCTGTATAAGCCATACTGGCTCTCTTCTGAGTCATGGTGCCCCAGTTTGAATGTTGTTAAAAAATAATAGACATCTGTATACCTGTTAAAAGTGAGTGCATGCAGTGTGCTTTTAAGAACACTGGAATGGGAGTCGCAGTAACTCTCACAGGCTCATCTGTTGCAGCCTGTGGCAGAAAACCAAAAAGTATGGTTTGTTTCCTTGCTAGTGTACATTGGTAGTGGTACAGTTGCTAGGTGGAGTTTTATTTTGTGCTGCTTCTTGGCAGAGTAAATAGATGAAATTAGCGTTTCAGCCTCAGGCTACTTTACTTCCGATACTAGAGTTAACATGATCAGTTGTGCTCAGAACTGCCACGTGCAATGTAGATGCAGCAGAGGGGATGGGAAGGAGGGTGGCACTGGGAACCTACCTAGGATTGCACTGATCCCTGTTCTCATCCTGGGGATTCCAGGTGTCAGCCTGCCCTGTGATGACCAACACTGGATGCTAGTGATGGCGTCATCAGACTGGGGTTTACATGCTGCCTCACTGCTTACAGCTTTCTTTCATTTTTTTATGTAATTTTAAATCTTTTTTTATTTAACAAATAAAGATCTACAGCCTTAGTTACACTGTATTTTTTAGTAATTTGTTACACAGGCACAATAAATGTAATTTTACTTTGGCTAGAATATATATATATACACATATGAATAAAAACAAGGAAAACCAGGAAAAACAGATACTCTGTATTTCAGGTATTCTTCTTTTGTATGGCCCCATGTCTAATTTGTTGCACATTCCTTGCATCCTGTTGTAAATCCATATTTCCCCCCCCCCCCCATTTATGGCACTTATCAGTAGAGTATCCAATTGCTTTTTGAACATGAATGAGTTCATTTTTCTCAAAAGTCCTGAAGGATAAGAATATGGGAATTTTACTTTACAAACAGGAAAAGACTGCAAGAACCTAATGATTTTCGTTCCAGTATGTGATACCTGGAGATGGAATTTTTTGGGGGAGATTGTTTAGCATTCCCTAGGATTGTCTGTTTTCATATATAGCACCCAGTTTGTTCTGGGTGCTATATATGAACACAGACAGCTGTGAGTACTCAATGCTTTTTTGAACTAAGCTCTGTAGCGGGCATTCATTTCTTCAAACCATAGCATCTGCATTGGAAAACCTTGCATCTGAGCTAGCTGACTATGATGGCTAGAAATATATGCTTTGGGAGCAGGAAGAATTTCATCCTAAGGGCAGGTATACAAAGCAGTTTAAAGTCAAGATTTTTTGTAGGAAAGAACTCAAAAAATTATTGTCACTTGCGAAAAGTCTGGGTTAAGGAACTTGCCCAAATCCCGGGGAGATGGTGAGATGAAGACAGGGACAGGACTCCATTCCTCAGGGCTGCATTCAACTGCCATTGTCATTGAACCCATGCTTTTCTTTCTGTGATCTGCCTTCTTTTCTACGCATCTTCCTTTTTCAAATGTGGACATTTATACATGATTTTTTTCAGGAGCTTGGTCCACTTGGTGAAAAGAATCCATTTTGTTCCTAAATCCTGTGAGAGAAAAAGGAAATCGTTACATCATACTGTGATTAAAGATTTAATACCTTTTTAAAACTATGAATTCATGGGAAGGCATTAAGCATGGTATTAAGTTTCAAGTTCTCAAGAAGAATATACTTGAGTGTTCATAAATCCTCCCACTTCTGCTACACCCAACCTTTCCTCTTTCCTTTCACCTTCACTCTGCCTTAATTCTTTGCTGTGCTCTCCATTCAGTCATGCTACTCAAATTCCACTGCTATGTACCAGCAGCATCACTAATTTCTGCTCCTCAGCCCTCACCATGCTGTTCCTGCAGGAAGCCTTGTTTTTTATACAAAGGGTTCTGTTTGTCTCTGAAGCTCTGAGATGGAGTATGTTCATTGTGAAGAGACTGCTGGAGACCAACTACACAGTGCCAACAAATCTCTTCTGCAATTATGTAAACTAAGCCATTCATGACTTGGCCGAGTTTGAGCAGGTCTCCTAGGCTGCCAAATTTGAACACATTACTAAAAAGCACAGCTTTAATTAAATGGTTATAAACATTTTCTTTATATGAAAGAAATGCATATTTCTGCTAATTTGCTTTTGGAAATGACTGAACTACTCTTAATGGAACTTAAAAGAAAATCAGTAGCCTGAATAAGTAATTCAGTGCAGGAAATTTCAGCTCTAACAATTTCAGCTTGACCAAACTACAAGCAACTGAACTGAGTCTTATTATTTGAGACCGAGCTGCAGAAAGCTCTAACAAAACTGTAGGCAATAGCCCCTTACATGTATAGAAATAGGACTGTGTTCCTAGCCCATAGCTTTGAAATTACCAGCATTTAATTTAATTTTCTAAGAAAATAATGCTTATGCAATCACACATCTGTGCGTGTTTGCATATTTCTGCCTCCCTCCTCCATCAAATTTTTTAATTCAAGGTCTAATTTAATTGAATAATTTACTTTGGAAAAGGCATCTACAGGTCACTTCTTACAGCCTCACACCCAAAGCAGGGCTAACTTCAACATTAGAGCAGGTTGTTCCAGGCTTGGTTGATTTTTTAATACCTCTGAAGATGGAACTTCCACAACTTCCTTCAGAAGTGTCCTTCACAAGCTTATTTTCTTGCAGATTGTGTTGGGTTTCCTTTTATAAAAAACTTCCAAATAAACTGTTCTGTCAACACGTCTTCATCATTGTATGTATTCAAGGTCTTGCTATGAATACAAAACCAGTTTCTCCAACCCTAACACTTGCAAGCTTTGAAAGTGAATCCAGGAAAAAAAAAAAAAGGTTTCTGAAATAGAAGGGAAACATTCCAATTAGGTTTTATTGTGTCATGTGTGAAAAGGTAATAAAAAAGGCAATGAGCTGATTAGACAGTTGCCATGATCCTTACTATGTAAACACTGCTTAAATGGAGGTGGTATAGTGGATTGTTGCTGACCCAACCTTAGTTCCATATGGTTTGCTGCATTTATTGTCTTCTGATTTATTGTGTAAAATAGGGGAGAACAAAAGTAAAATCACATGGCTGGACTTTGTCATGTCCATGTAAAAGGCAACTATTAAGAGCAATTGTCATGCTGTGTTGTAGTAATTAGGGGACATCTTCCAGCCCTTTATAAAAACCAGAATTATATTGATGTTAATGACTTTAATACTAGCTACCTGGCCTACAACCTCTCTTCTGATTGTTATTGGAAGTCACAAAATTATCCTTTGATGACAATATACCTTTTCCAGGGGGACCCCCCTTATACTGCAGCATTCAAAGATGGGTCTCTATTATCTAGGTAAAAATGAACCTTTTAAAAAGTCTGTGTCTTGTGTTTTCCACTCATTTAGAAGATTTAAAGGGGACTTGCAAAAGTCACTTGCAAAATTTCAGCAACTTCCTGCTTTGAATGCTCTTAATAGATGAGCTGAGAGCCACTCAGAACTCTATTGCAACATTATACATGCTTATTTTTTCCACGCCTAGGTCCCACAATGTACTTTCACGATCCAGATTCTGTGCTTCTGTTCTGAGTAACGTTCCAGCAGGCAGGATGCTGGGGAGGGTGCGGCCAACACGAAACTCTGCTGGAACATTGATCAGGCTGGAGAGCCAGGTAAGTGCCACTTAAACAACATGACATTTTAGGAAATTTCAGCAAAGCTTTAAATGTCATTTTACAACCCACCAAGAAAATTAGGCAATAGAGTAAACATTTCCTATATTTTAGATGAGATCACTAGCACCCTATGATTTTCTGCTTTGTTTTTTCCGCTCCTTGTTCACTTGTACCAGAATTACATAATAAATGGGTCTGTATTTTTTTCATACTCGTGTTTTTCAAAGTTTATTCGTGGCACAGCAAGTTCTAGCAGACTTTCCCTCTTGCTTGGTCTTAATGCCTATGTCTAGCTGACCTTCTGCAGCTTGCAGGCCATAACCCCTGACTCTCAAGGGTTTTTAATACAGGAGGAAAATCCTGCCAAGTATCCAGCCTCTGTAGCACTCATCAGAGCTTCCCAACACGTTTTCTAGATGATTCTGTATCAGTTGCATTTCTAGTATGCGGTGTGGCTGGGTGACCTCGTTATAACCCAGAAGCCATTAGCATACGGCACTCGGAACCGCCCAGGCTTGCACCCAGCTCCACACTGGCAGGCCAGGGCTTCCCTTGCTCTGGGTGGGCTCCTTTCCCGAGGAGTGGAGCCTATTTCTGAGGGATCTGGCAGGCTGAGGTGGAATTCTCCCACTTTCAAACACTTGATTATCCCATGCCAACAAGCGGAGCAGAGAGCTGCCTGCATGATACCTTGCCATGGAGGTAAAACCAGAGTGGCCCAGCCGTGGGCCCTCGCCAGCGCGAGGGCTGCAAGGCAGGCACTGTGCCTATAGCCCTGCCTCCACGGCCCTGTCCCACCCGGCCTGCCCTGCCAGCCTGCTGCACTGTGGCTGGAGAGGTCTCTGTGCAAAGCCAGTGTGCCTAAATAAGCAGATAGGGGGAAAAAGCCAAACAGGAGTTATCTGAATGGCCTTCATGCTAGCTATGTCAGTGAAGTTGTTGCTTAGGACAGGGTGGGTTTTTTTTTACAATGAATTTTTGATCAGAGCTTCTTTAGCTTCTTCAATTCTAAATGTGTAATTGCTCATACTTCAAACTATAGCTCATCTTTTGTGCTGGCTTACCGGATGCTTTTCTGCAGAAGTCATAGAAACAATCAATCAGCTCAAAACTGGGTTAATCTCTGATTTCCCAATAGCTTCATATGACTTCATAGAAAAGAGAAGGCTCTGAGGAGACCTTCCAGTACTTAAAGGGGGCCTGCAGAAAAGATGGGGAGGGACCCTTTATCAGGAAGTGTAGTAACAGGATGAGAAACAACAGTTTTAAACTGAAAGAGGGTAGATTTCTATGAGATTAAATGAAGAAATTCTTCCCTGTGAGGGCGGTGAGGCGCTGGCCCAGGGTGCCCAGAGCAGCTGTGGCTGCCCCCTCCCTGGAAGGGTTCAAGGCCAGGTTGGACGGGGCTGGGAGCACCCTGGGCTGGGGGAAGGGGGCCCTGCCCGGGGCAGGGGGTTGGAACTAAGTGATCTGTAAGGTCCCTTCCAACCCAAATCATTCTGTGGTTTTATGATTCTGTGAGTGCCAGAGTGATCACATCAGAATCTTAACTTTTATTAAAAGCAGGAAAAATATAAACCTCTTGATTATGGAGAATAATTTGGAACTCAAACCCCACCAATGTAGCCTATGTAATGTTGTGGGGATTAGAGCAGACAGCAACAGTTTATGGGACAGGTGAAGAATATACCATAGCAAAGTCACACACCCAAATCTCACTTATTGAGACAGTCACTCATTATAAAGTTTGTTTCTTGTTTTTATCTAATCCCTTGCCATTCTGTTGCTTGTATTCTGTTGAGATACTGGGGTAAAAGATAAAAGATCACACTTAGGAAATCACAGGACCTTCCACTTTTTGGTTGGGTTTGGATGTCTGCCGGTACTGTGATCTAGACTACTGCATGGACTTACTTGTCTCAGGCCTTTCAAAATTAGACCTTGTTATAGTGCTCCCACTTCTCACCCCCTTCTTTCTGGTCTACAGTTCTAGCGTCTCCTGCATCATATTCCATCTGTCCACACCAGACTACAACTCCCCAAGCCTTTGTCCCTACCTTTTCAGTCTCCTGCTCATGTTCTCATACAAAAAAAGCAGGTCCTGGCATTTCTCATCTGGTGCTGAAGGTATGACATATGATAGTATCAGAGCAGGTCATGAGCTGCTGTCTTGAGTAGGTACAAGTTACTGCATGCTAGTTCTTCCACAACGATTGCTTGTAGCACATGTGAGTCAAGTTAAGGTTATTTACACTTCTAAGCCTGTAAAAAAGTCAAATGCATCACAAGTAAATAAGTTTCTATTTATGCCGAACATTTCAAATACAAATACAGCCACTGTTGTTTGAACTACAGTATTTCCCCTACTGCTCTTAAAGAATATAAAAAGCCATTACTCGTGTAGCAAGATTCGGACAGAGAATTCTGTGACAATCTCAGTAAGTAAGCTTATTTTGTCCTTTGGTCACATTAATGTTGTTTCTGCTACAACTTACCTATTCAGTCTCCTTCATTCTTCTGGAAATGATTCCCTTTGCTTCCAAAGCCACTGAACATTTTAAAATACAATTGTACCACTTCCCCTTTTAAAGTATGTGCAGGTTTATTCATCTGGCATTTATGCTGTTACTTTATCATCTCTTAAAGTAATCATTTCTCATATTTATACACCATGATTGATGTAGCTATGAAGGCACAGACAAAAAGACAACATCCTTCCCAACAGGGCTTAGTATCTCAAAACCGATGTAACATATAGCCATTAACATCTATGTTGTGCCTGTTAGAAGAAAAAAAAAAAAAAAAGTGTGGATAAGTTGAAAATAGTACTAGTCTACTACGAGCTAAAAAGCTGAGTGGAATCCATCCACTGAGAATACATTGTTGTGCACTCTGTAATAGTTTTCTAAAGATCTTTTCTTTTAATCTTTAGTGATCAATAAAGACTTGAACTGGAAGATGCTTTTGTAGTTGAGCTATCTTCTTGCTTATTTTTAACAGAGATTATTTATATAAAATACTCTCTAGAAACTACTGCACAAAAGCTAACTAAGAATATTGTGATAATGTTTCAGAACAGTTTCCAAAGATCAGCTCAAAGAGGTATCACTCACTGCAGAACAGGCAGGTAGTTACATTACCAGAAATTTAGGAACCAAGGTTCCCAGTCTGTTTTTCAGAAATCAGATCAGCCTTCATTACCAAAATTGCCTTGAGTAACTGAATCTCTGTCTGTTGGTCACTTTGCTATGAGTTATCCCTATATGCTAGAAGAGAAGATGCCATAAACAGAAAGTTAGAATAGAGTAGCTGGTCCTTGGGAACTTGATGGGGAAGCAGTCAAAGATACTAATCTACAGGCTCACAAATAATTACCTATCCTTAGTGTACTCAAGGGTGCTTCTGCATGCACTGAGCTAGCTCCTGTCCAGTGCTAGCCTGTGGGCTGTGTGATGCTCTTCAGTGGTGTTGTAGAAGGTTGTTGTTAAGGAGTTTATTCCTGACGTTAATCTTTAATATAAACAGTTACATTAACATAAAAATGAGAACAAAGTAAATAAAGGGGGGAGATGTATCTTTCACCCAGTGTCTTGCTCCACTGCTTCTAACATCTATGAGTACCAAGAAAAATTTTTTGCCCTCTTAAAAATTTCTACAATAGTTTACCACATGATTTGAAACTACGAGTTTAGATTAAACTACACATTAGCTGATTCATTATTCCTAATGTAAGGTTCTCCAGCTGAATTTGAAAGATCAAAGGCTGTGATTAGAGGATTGCCTCCATCACTTACAGCAGGGGACCTGAGGAAAATTTAATATTTTTTCATTTTCTATATCTTTCAGAGAAAAGGAAGTGGTTTAATCAGGTATGTTTGCAGGGTTACACATGCATTTACTTCACCTTCATATTTTTTTCGTATTCTAATTATACCAAAATTTGCTTTTAGAAAGATCACTGAAATGCCACCATATTCATTCACTCACTCATGAAAATGAAATAAATCAGCCCTGATCTTGGTTGTTAATTTCTTTTTTTTTTCTCTGAAAGGTGTTAAAAATGCCTGTTCCTTAATCAGTTGAGACAATGAAACTCTGTGACAGTTTAAAGTAAGTGTTAGCCCTGAAATAAAACTCATTGCACACAACCCTTGACTTCTGGTGTTCAGGATATGCACTTCTGTGAAGGACAACACAATGACACTGAGAACACAGCCTTTGCAATTTCTACTATTCTTCCTGTCTCCCTTTCCATCTTCAATACATTAAGCACTTTTTTTTTTTTTTTTAACACAATCAACTTTAGGTCTATAACTGGAACTCAATTTCGATGCTTTTATTAGCTAATTCTACTCATGTTTGAATGAAGTTTCATATGCAGTATTTTGTTACACATTCGTAATCATCTAGTCAGTTGTAAACTAGATTTATTCAAATGTACTGTAAGCTTACCAAGATTGCTGGGCAAATGAAAGCCTCCAAAAAAGCTCCAGGCATATTCAGTCCTCTCATTCCCCCTCAAAGATATTTTTAAGACAAACACCAACCATATAACTCTTCAGTATAAGAGTTAAAATTTATCCATGTCCTAAAAAGAAAAAAAGAAAGAGGTGAGCATGGAAATTAGGGTGCAACTTAATTGGGCATTTCTATGAATTACTGCATAATAAGTTTTTAATTATATCATCTTGGGAAGTGAGATAGTTAGGCTGTAACAGGGTGGACGTGCTTGCTATGTGAAAAACTTCCTAAGAAAAGCAAAAGCAATCCAGGGGACTGTTGCTCTATTTCCTTTCTGAAAAAGTTGCCTGTTGGAGACATGCCTCTAAGTTACAGTTTTCCTTCAGTATTAGGGTAGGCTGCACATTTGCCTTGTTCTGTCCTTGCTCCAACATTGTCCAGTCCTTCAGCCAACTCAACAGCCTAAGCCTGAACCAGGCCTTTTTTACAAAGCTGAATGAAGATGTGCTCTCTCTCCAAGAGAGCACCACATTTCT